TCTGGGAACACTGAGCTATCGCGCCGGGGGGCGCACGGCACCGCAGCTTCCCCTGGCACCGCTTCCTCCTCGCCGCTTGAGCCCGCCCTACTGCGGGCGATGCGCAGGCGACACCGGCGACACCGGCGCCGGGCTGAGCCTGGCAGCGAGCCCAGCGCGGACTACAAGTACCGTGAGCTCCCGCGCCCAGGGGGTGTTGGCTCCGCGGAGCCGCACTACAGCTCCCACAATGCCTCGCGCCGCCTGGTGTCTCCCTTCGGGTCCCGATTTAAATCCAGGCAGGGAGGAAAATGGCGGTGAGGGGCTGAGTGTTGGGGAGACGGAGACGTAGCTGAGCTTTGGCTCGTTTCCCAGGTGAGTGGGGTTTGGAGGGAGAGAGGGCGGGCGTGAGTAACGAGGGAAGTTCTAGTTCGGCTTTCCCGTGCTTCTAGTGCTGGGGTGGGACTGCGATGGCGGAGGGAGCGCTGCCCCTTGCCGGGGAAGGGAGAAGCCGCTGGAGAGGCGGCTCTTCTGTGTCTCTCGTCTCCCTCTATATGAACCTGGCTCCCTGAATGCGTTGCGTACGAGGTGTATTCCCAGGGCTGCAGACGAAGGGATTCCCCCGGCAACGTGTCGCTGCCTTTACCTCTTTGTAGCCATTGTAACTTTAGCGGAGACTGAGTTTTGAAGGGGCATTCGTGCGGCAGTGGCGGGGAATCGATTCGCGGACTGAAGCCTTCCCGTAGGGCTGTGTGATGCGTATATAAGCATGGTGATTTGGGGTGGAGGTTCCTCGTAGAATACAAAGAGACCTGAGGTCGCCGGGGACTTGGCTTTAGACTCGTCCGATGCACGGTTTGTCTGTGGGTGAAACACCTGCCTTAGAATGGCCCTCTCTGCCATTCCGCAGGGTTTGGTTCCAAAGACCTCGAGATCCGCGTTCTGCTGGTCATCCTGTAGCCTCGGTAAGTTTTTACACCTGACTCCTCCTTACCTCCGGTAATAAAAAAAGGGATGAAAAACACTTCAACTGAACGGTTCCTTTCCATGCCTCTTACCCATTTCTGCCTCGTAGTTGTAATGAAACTGTGTTGTTTAGGGGTGGAGATGAGATTTTTTTTTTTTTTTTTTTTTTACAGGTGTTAGTGTTTCTGGGATGTAAATAGGGTAATTATGAGCTAGCGTGATGTTGAGATAATTCCCATAATTCTCTTCCTTTGGTTCTAAAGTTGGTTCTGTTTGTGGTTTCTGCTCCTACTCCTAAGCACGGTCAAGTTTTCCTTTAAAAGTGAAGCTTCTGTATTTGTCAGCTCATATTCGGACTCTTTTGAATCTTCAGTATCTTTTTCCACTTTTACATAGAATTTAACACAAAATAATCTAACTGGAATAACAGGACAAAACAAAAGGAAATCGGAAAGTGTGAGGGATGGCAATATTTAGTATATGGTATCTGTAATTCTTACAATAAGCTTAAAATTCTGTCATCGCTATTGTAAAAATAAATATTTTCTCATGGAATGTTTCCATCTCAAAATGTTCTGCTTCACGCGAAACAAAGTTGTATATTCTGAATATAAAATATAGTTTCATAGAAACAAATAGTATATGAGTGAAAATCAGAGAATAAAAGCTTGGGTTTAGAGGAAAGAGACAAAATTGGGTATTTTTGGGGGCGTTCGGGCTTTTAGTTTTGTTTCAGTTTTGTTACTTTCGGTTTTTAAACAAAACTGTGCATTATAGCGTGCAGCAGTTATATTTACTGTTACATTTCTATTTGCTGTTACAATGGGCTGTTCAACTGACTGTTGTCAAGAATTCCCTTCAATTTTTTTTTTTTTTAACTAATACCGGTGGATTTGATGAATTCACTGCTGACATGTGAGGATGGAACCTGTGTGATACAGAAAGCAATAGACAAAATAAACCCAGCGTTCAGCCTCACTTCAAGTACCTCTCCTGATTCCTGATTCCAGGAGTGTTGTTGCCAGGCTGATTTTATTTGGAAAATGACTCCGTGTGCATTTTGGGCTCGCCTGTGGCTTTTGTTTTTCTTTTAACTGTTTATTTGAGGCCCTTGCTCATCTTGGCTTTGGATTTATTAACTTTGAAGTTTTGCATTGCCTAGTTAGTAAATTTTTGTTGTTGTTGTTGCATTGTATCAGTGACGTACACCCTAATGTATAGCTGAGACAAAATGCAGATTAGGAAGAAGCAGCAAATCTGTTTTATAACAGAACCTTATCTTATCATGGTGGTACTTTTTTTATTAATAATGGACAAGAAATCACAATCAAAAAACCTTCCAGATTAGTTTCTGTGGTACAGTTTCATAGAGAAGGTGGGGAGTGTTTTCATTTCTCAAGAACGCTGGGAAACAAAAGGTGTCTTGATTCTATTTGCCTGCAAAGTTAAACCATTTGTAAGGTGTGAAAAGGTACTGTACACTACAGCCTGACACTACAGCCTGACACTACAGCCTGACACTACAGCCTGACACTACAGCCTGACACTACAGCCTGACACTACAGGCTACTTCAGCTCCTGCATTTAAATGAGGCTTGAAAAGGTGATCTTCAATGACTGTATGATACAGGATCTTCTGCACTTCATGTTCAGGCTTTTTGAGTATTTAGAAATATCTTAAATATTCTTCTGGCTTGTTTCAATAAGAAAAAAATGGAGGAGAGTGGGAGGGGAGGAATAGTATCCTTTATGCCAAAGATATGAGAGGGTGGTGAAGAAGATCTAACCTGAATGCTGGGGCAGCCTGCCTATGTAGTTTTTATCATTTGTTTTCCCCCCCTTTCCCCCTGGCTAGATCTATTGATGTTTCTAGATGTAGTGTATTAGGAAAGATTGTAAAAAAAATTTAACTGCTGCTAATTTGAATCTGCTATGGAAGGTATTTCCACTCACTCTGATTTTTATGTGCTGCATTTAGTTGAGTGAAGGTGCATTAAATTATTTTGTGCACCATATAAATGGGAGGCATACTTCATATGGATCCTGTTACTAATACTTAATTGGTGACTTTTAAAATTTGCAGTTATTAATAAACTGATTTTTGCAAAGTGAAACAAAATTACCTTGCCTTCGACCTCATGAAGGATTTTTAGTCTTTTGTGTGCAGTGTGTCTAATATCAGAATGCCCTGCCTCACTGAAACATCCCAACAGGGAATGGAACAGGGATTGGGTTGGGTGACTTTTGTTGCCATATCTTTTAATATAAGATGGAGCAAAACAATTTACTTGGAAAAAAGCCAGTGAAATACATGTTCCCTCCAGTATTTTGGTGAAACGATTGTTCAGAACAGTCAACTGAGAGTTCTCTGTTTGTTCTGTGTAAGTCCAAAGAACTAAATAAATCTAAATCAAAGATACCATTCCTCTGGTTTTGCTTTGTGCATTCCATTTGTAATTCTTTGCCGATTGCCCTGTAGAGCACATTAGCACCTTAACATTGTTGGGTTTTTTACATCACATTCTCTGGAGGCTGGTAAGTCACAGAAAAAGATAAATTTTGCTGCTCTGTGTGTGTCTGAAGGGGTAGCAGCTAATATAGTCTATGTGGATAAACCTTTTCTAAAACTTTTTAGACAAACATTAGGAGCATACACGTGTGTATGCATGTGCATAAGCAGTGGTATATGGAAATGCTACATTAGTTTTTGTTGAATCTTATGGAAGAACTAGTAAAAGTTCAAAAATTAATTTCTTGTGTTAATAACGACAACTTTAAAATGGTTTTCCATTTTTGCCAGCTCACATCTTAAGGAGATGATTTCAAACAAAAATTTGCAATTTCTTTGCCAGTGCTAGGCTTTTCAGACATCTTCCTCTATCATATTTTTTCTTTCCCCATAAAGGCTAGGCTCGAGAGGTCAGATGGAAATAGGGAATTGTGACTTGGTTTAGAGTTGTTTTTGTGCTCTGTCCATCTTTGCTGCTGCCATGAACTGAAGCAGAGGCAGGCAGCATCTTCTCTTATAGTAACCTCCACCTTTTATCTTCTCTGGCAGCCTTTTCCATGTTCAGAACAGAGATTCCTGGCTCGATGTCAGCATATGGCTTAACTTTCTTAGGTAGGAATTGAAATAATCCCCTCCTAATTGGTATTTCAAGTATTTATCTAGTCATAGATTCAAAGATAGCACTAATGGCAACAAAAGCAAGAGTAGTTTATCTGCAAACCGTTCACTCGATTAAAATAGAGCAAAGCCAACATCTCCTGCTAACCTAGAATGTACATTTGATCCCCCTTTAAAAGGAAGGCAGTTTCTCTAATCACTGCAGAGAAAATTGAAAAAAGAAAACATCTTCCCTGGCTGAAGTAGCTTTCAATGACTTTTATATTACAACTGTATGTTTTCTGTTGAACCCCGTAATTTTTGATGTACATTCAAGGCTGCTGAGGAAGATTTGTAGTGGTAAGGGACAGAACTAGTGCTAGCAAACTTGCCAGACTGTGTGAGAGACAATGAGCAGGTAACAGGGACGATGAGTGCCATTCAGGAACAACGGAAAATGAGTGCAAATTTGAGAAAGCTGAAGGACAGCCATCACTTGAGAGGAATAGAATAGCTGGTGTTGTCACCCACTGTAATTTCTGTTCAAATGTACAGCTGCAAGGTAGCTTTATCAGCTGCTTTGTCTTCTCTTACCCTGCAATTTCTCTGCAGCTGAACCTCAAGTGACCTCTGTCATGATTAATACATAGTTTGATAATATTTCAGATTGGCCAAGCAATTCTTTTGGTATATGAGCAAAATTTTTCCTTCCCCCCACCTCGTCTTAGCTCCTCTTTATAGTGATTAAACTTTTGCATTAAACTGAAGAGTATGTCTAGGTAGAAGTGGAAGATTGTTTCAGCAGTATATTTGAGGGAGCTTTTTCAAAAGGTCTATAAAAGCAGTAGAAATTTCCAGGCTTCACAAAAGAAAAAAAACAAACAAATAAGCAAACAAAAAAACCACACTCCAAAATCACACATGCAAAAAAACAAAACAAACCAAACCCCCAAAAAACCAAAAACCAACCAACCAAACAAAAAAACCCCACTTTTAGGGTCTGGTTTAATAACTGCTTTGCAAGAAGAGAAATAATGAAAGGAACCGCAGACATTCTGGATGCCAGCCTGAGAAATTTTCCACTGTTTTCTTTAATAACACGCAGGCATGCTTTTATTGCTGGAATTTCAGTGAGGAATCTTTTCCGGACTGAAATTTCAAGTTATTTGGTGAGCAAGTGCTTGCTGAAAAGCAATTGTCAAGAAATAAATTCTCATATGCAAGACTGTGCATAAACCACTCTCATGTTGGGTATCAGCTACTGATTATATTAGTTCAGTTTTTTGGTTTCCAGTGTGTTAACTGTTCCTGTTTCTACGTGATCATTGCTAGGTGACAATACATCTTTTCTTGCTTCTGGAAATGGTAATTGTAGACCAACATTTCCAGTAAGGACTGTATGCTACTAAACTAGAAATCTTCATTATCCTATCTTTAATATACAAAGGAGGAAAGATATTAGGAAACACATCTTTTGTAAAAGAGTTAAAGACTACTTAATGGTTATTTTTTTTAAATTATTGTAGTTTCAGATGCAATGGTGAAAATCAAACTGAAGGGATCTACAGGTTCAACCTCATTTGTCTACCTTAAAGCTCTTTTCTGTGTAAGTTACTCTTCTTTACTAAAAGCAGCCTGACCTTTTTCCAAGATGTAGAGAACTCTGTACTTGGAATGTGTCTTGTCTTTCTGTCACTACAGATATTTATTGTTGACTTAGGCTGTTTTGGGGTAGGTCCTAAAAAAACCTTTGTATATTGGGTTGAGGTTTTTGTTTTCTTAAATGCCAGGGTGGGAGCAAAGCTGCTGTATTGTGTAAAAAGTAAATCACAACAGACTCTTGTCTTTCTAGTATTAATTGAAAATGTAAAACCAGAACCCTTTCAATGCATTTTAATGTAATTTTGTCTTCTTAAGACAGCACAGTGCATTTCCACAGCTCTCAAGCCAAGTCAGGGCCATTGTGCTTCCTTTTCTGTTACCTCTCTTTGTTGGGCTACCTTTTTTTTTTTTTTTAATAATTATGTAAAAATTTCAACATCTGACTCCCTGATTGCTCCTAATCCTTTCTCACATATTCAGTTGCTGCTAATGAGAATGCTAATGACTAAAGTTAAAAGTAGAGCACATTGAACTTGACATGAACCTTAATATGTTTTCCACTTTGTGTGAGGATTGTATTGTGAATTGTATATTGTTTCGTTGGTTGCTTGCTGATTAAAAGTACTGAAATTACTTTGTATACCTTTTGGATATCTCCTATAAATTTGCTACTTCACAAATTTGATGTAAAGTTTAAGCTTGAGATGGGATTTCTAGGGAGACTTTTTCTTTGTGAAGGCAAAAGTGCCTTGCTGAAGACCTAAGACAACTGAAATGTGTTTATTGTCAAAGCCTAAAACCACCTTACTTTGTTTATTTGGAATTTGGATAAAGCTAAGGTGCCAGCTGAGGTATTTCACTATAGTGCTAGATAGTTCCAGTGTTCTTTGAGCTTGGTTTTACATTTATCTTTATTCTGCTTATTGCAAATTCTTTCATTGATTTAACTGGTAAGTTTGCTAAATACTTGATAGAGGTAAGATTGATCTTGACTGAAACAATTCTGCACTGAGCAAAAGCTTAATAAGTAAAGGTGTGGTCAACTTGAATAAAATAACTCAAATACTTCTTGTTGTTCTGGCAGTAGTTTCTAGTGTGGTTTGCTTACCTCTGATATTTTATTCTTGCCATCTACAAATGTTGATTCAGTAAATACAGGAAATAATTCCAGTCAGAGTGGTCACTGCAGAAGAAGCCATGGTGATTTAAAAGAACTTTCTTTTCAGGGTGACTGACTGGATAATATCCCTCCCACTTGGTTTAGGAGACTTGTCCTTACTCCAGTGATGCTTTGGTCTTTATTCCCAGTGTTTTATGTAGGGAAGAAGAAGGTGTGCTATAGCCAGTAGATCTTTGTTCAATTTTCCTCCACTCAGTAAAATAAAAATTATGCTTTTCCTTTCTAGGTATTCCTCCTGGCTTCTGCTGTAGCAAACACTGTGCTAGGTAAGTTTTTTGTCACAACTACTTTGTTTTCTCAGCATCAATTCTCATAAACTATTGGTATTTAGGGAGTTAAAAAAAAGGAGAAAATTATTTCAATTCTCTTAGGAGAATAAAGGTGGTTTTTTTTTGATGTTCTATGTTAATATGATATGTAGTTTGCTGTCTTCCACCTCACTTAAACTTGAGGAAATGCATGGTATGACCTGGCCTTGGTATGTTCCATGGTATCCAACACTGTCAGGCTTTTGGGGAACACTTGGACCATTAAAGGATGCTCCTCCTAAGATGTGGGACACACAGTGCTAATATCCTTATTGTATATATCTGCCTTTTTCATTCTCTCTGTCATGGGTACTAGAGTTTTCTTCTTCCTGAGCAAACCAGTAATTGTTCTGAGCAGAGTATTCATGTTATTTTGAAAGACCAATGGTGAAATAGGATTTCTTAGCTAAATCTATAGATTATTAGATGTCATGTGAATCACTGTTAGGTATTGTTTATTTGAGGTTTGGTCATAGCTTCTGGGTTAAGCAATTTAGCCTTCAATACTCCATTAGATTGCTATGTCAGCTTCTATAGCTGTTGCTGGAGAGTTGTGAAACTGAAAACTTCTCTGGACATTCGATTCAGTGGGATTTTGGTCACATGAGAGGAAGCACCTCCTTTGGAACAATCTCTTATAAAAGTTCAACCTCTATACTCTGCTGTTTAGCAGGTGCCCTGAAATAGAGTTCAGGTGAGCTGGCTTGGTTACAATAAGGTAGGGTTAAAACAAAATGAAGAAAATGAGACAGTTGAAGGCAAACCTTTGGAGAATGATCTCTTCAAAGGACAGAAGAATTTGTGGGTTTTTTTCAGATAGCTGTGCTCATCAGTTCCTAAGCCATGTTTTGCAGACAGATGACACTCTGAGGTAAATAGTATGAGGTGGAAACAAGTGATAAGTAACCTTTGGTCCTGACTGGATGCAGGCACTTGTTTGAGCACATTGTCTGTCATAAATCTACTTTCAATGAAAAAAAAATCACATCAATTTTATTCTCTAAGAGGATTAATAATATCAGGCTTAAGTTTTGTGTGCTCTTTTCTTGCATTCTCTGCATGGTGTGCTGTGATTATCCTGCTAGTAGTGTCCTGTATAGTTTGTAGACTGTTACTTGTAGGCTTTGTTTATATGAGAATCTAACAAGCTTTTGTACTGATGAAAGCTCAGGACTTTCAGTGGACTCTTAGGTACACTAAAAAATGCTTACTGGACTTTGAAAAGAGACACTATTCCATGCCCAGAGACAATTACTAGTAACTTTTCTCCTAATAATTTTGGCAGGACCCAAGAATATAAAATCTGACTATGATGTACCTAAACAGAACTTGCCACACTGTGTGGGATGAACTGTAGCAGAGTTATTCACTGGATGAATGCAGTGTGGCATTTGCTGAGAAGAAAACACATTGCATTGATTACACCTTGTAGCCCATCTTCTCTAATTGAATGACATAAATGTGTCACATGTGCTCCTCAGTCAGTTACTATGTTTTATTTGCTTATCAGATGTTAATATGACAAATTTTCGGTGCAGAGATGTGGCTGGATACTAACTTTAGAGATCAAACAATGGCTCTCTAGCTCGGGGGTTTTGTTGAATGTTAGATCCAATTCAGTTGGTCTCTTGGTATGGGCACTGAAGAAAAAAATGCGGAAAAGTACGGAAAAGTCACAATAAAAAAATTTACAGCTCTGTCCTGGCATTTCCACCAGTGCATTATATAAGAATACATAAAATTTGCTTCCTGGTGATGTGAAACTGCACAACTGCTTAGCCATTTATCTATAAACAAGGAAGGAACTGGATCTGAAGACATTCTAAATGCTTTTGGCATTTGAAGAGGAAGGATATCACCCCATCTGGTTTTGGTAGTCACTGACCTCTTGTACTAATTTCCAGAATGGCTGCTAATCTTCCTAAAATTACTTGGAATTTCTATGCTAATGTTGATAGTGTCATTTTGGAGAGTTCTGCAGATAAACCCTAGTGCTTGAGAAGTGCCATTTGTATAAAAACTTCCATGAGTAAGACTGATTTTTCTGCCTGCTTGAGGAATCCTTGGGAGCTTAATGTGAGATTTGTTGAAAAATGGCTTTTTAATGAAAGTGAAGATCCTGCTTCTTTAATAGAACGTTAGAAAAACTAGAAGCATAAGGTTTTTATGCAATGGAAATTGCTTGTGAAGAATAGAAAAGTTTGGACCAAAACAAAATCTGGAGAGCACTGAGAGCTTTCCTAAAAGCACACCATTTTTTCCTCAGAAATGGGAGGGGAAAAAAGATCCTTGAAGGTAGGAATGAATGTTGTCATCAGGATATTCTGTGTCCAGTAAAGATGGGACTGTTGATGTATGTATGCAAAATCTGAAGCCTACATGATATTAATAAAACTTATCTCTTAAATCAGAACCAAAAAGACTGTGGTAATATATCTTAAAATTAAACAAAGTAGGATCAATTGTAATGTTACTTTCCTGTCTTAGTGACCCGTTGTTATAATGGTTTATCTCAGTATCTTATGTACCACATTCCCAGTTTATCTGTGGGCTGTGATACATCATTCCCTGGTGAAACTCATCATGTAATTATGAGCATCTATCCAAACACTGTGAGCAAAGTTAGTGCTGGTCGGTCAAGGTGCTGTTCAGTCAAGTATTCAAAGTCTCTAAGGACAGTGGTTCCTGTGTTCAATCACTCTTTATAAACTGGAATTAAACTTGCTGCAGGTAGTAAAACTTGTGACTCTCAAATCTCTTAGTACCTCTCTAGGTGGTATTGCTCTATTATATGTAAAATTGAGCAAAGACACCAACCTTTGGGCTTTTTCCTTTTTATTAATCTACCTTGCTTAATTTTTAAATAATTAAGCCCTTAAATCTAAGACTTTATTTGACCAGAGACATGCACAAAACCACTACAGCTTTGTTTTGAGCAGTAAATTGTAGCAGATGCTCTGTGATAACCTGACAGTATTGTGGAAAGATTAATGAAGCTGATTTGGGGGAGGGTTCTGTTCTGTCCTTACTTTGCAATTCCACTGAAGGTACTCTGCTAAGCTCTGTTTGCTAGGAATGAAGTATGGTAAGGAATATGAAAAAAGAAATAGAGGAAAGGAGATCCTAATTAATGGAATGCTCAAATTTTTGGGGGTAACATTTGATTTTGCTTCAAATATCTCATGGTAAGCATTTTTGTTGAACTAAATGAATACCTCTTACAGCCAAACGAAATGTACCTGCATACACTCAATCAGATTTTAATTACAGCATTGAGCTTGAAACATTTCCATATTTCAAGGACAAATTTGGTTTTAGAAATGGCACCTTTGTATTAAGTAGCTGTACTTACTCCTTTCAGTTAAGTAAATCATGTATAAGTGCTGATGCTATGCATGGAAAATTTGAATTTTGATTTCCTTTCTTCAGTAGCCTATTTAGTTTCTAATCTTGTACTCTCATATCTGAGCATCTAGTCATGCCAAAAACTCATTAAGTTCATTATCAGGCCTTTAATTATTATTAGATCTAAATACCAAGATCTAATCTTAAAAATAAAGAGGATGTGTGTTTTTCAATAAATTTTAAAAATAATTTTTTTAGTAACACAATGGAAAAAGATACTAAGCAGGATTCTCAAAAGCATTCTTAAGACACCAGGCATTTAACTCCCCTTAAAACCAGTTCGTGTGAGTGTGAGTAGACTTGCACAATATGAAACCCTGTAATGGATAAATGCCTTCCCCCCTACCCTCTCCCCACAGCACTCAAACACTTTTTCAGGATATGAATCTACATTTTTAAAAGCGTAATGTTTCCAGTGTAGAATAATATATTTGCTGACATTGATTCTGTAACTTAGTTCTCGTGCAAACAACACGAATAAATGTCCATAAGTACTGCATCTGCCGACTAGCAAAACGTGTCAAAGGCAGGGCAGTGTGATTTATGGAGTAGATTTCTTTCATGCTCGTGGGTGCACCCTTTTTGATGGTTGTAAATATATTCCAACAGTTACATTGGTGATTTAAATGTCAGTTTAAAGTCTGCTCTAAAAGAATGCTCTTAATCAGAAGTTGTGATCTGTCATAATCAAGCCAGTGTATGTCAGTGTTGTTTACTCTGCATTGGAAAAAACCTGTGTGTTCTGATTTCATTGTCAGTGGAGCTCTCTGAGTAGCCAAGTACTTGGGCAAAGGCCAAGTTAAGATACAGGCCCTCGGCAGACAGCAGATCTCCATTTATAAAACAGTTCTCTATTACTGTGTAGTAAATTGGACGTGATTGCTGTGTTAATGCTTATGAGACTTTGGGTGGAATTGGCCCCCATGAGTTCACAGGAAAGACTACTCATAGCCTTGTTATATCATCTGTGCAATGCACTCTTTCAGGAATCTGCTTAAATTAAGAATGTGCAACATGGATTAAAGATGTGTTGAGAGGTGGAGCTGGCAATACTATTTGAAGTTTCTTTTTAATGACCTCACATCCTTAGCACTTTCAATGTAAGTTTTTGTACGTCTTTAAAAAGCTTATGGAAAAAAACAGAATAATTTGCCATAAGGAAATTTCTACTCTGTTTGCCAGCAAGGTAGTCATGGAGCAGGGTGCCACCTTGGCCACTAAACTGACAGCACTTTCTGCATGGGTTACTCGCTGGAGGGGTGGGAAAGAGGATTTTTAGCACTATTGGTTGAGAATTCCAGCTACCACTTCAAATGAAATCTTGAATTGGGAGGGACGAAAGGGTGGCCTTTGCTAAGCCCTTGATCCTGCTGCTGCCTCATGCTTTGTGGATGCTGTGTGTGGGTGTGGCAGTGTAACCTAGAAAAATGTCCCTGTCACTAGCTGCTGTGCTGCCAGGCACTTTAACTGCTTTGTAGCTGGCAGGTTTATAGAGAAGTTGCTCTTGGTCATGGTAATATAATGATAAAGCACAGAGGAGCTGTGCTGCAACA